TCCTTCGGGGGCCCGGGGAGTGCTGTAGTGCGTTGTCCTTGGAAGAGAAATGGAATGATTCAGGGTAGTCAGGAAGAAGTGAGGTGTGTCCTGAGACGTGACAGCGTTAATTCCGTTCGCTTTTAGCTGTTGTTACATTGCTGTTCAGACGCTGTGTGTGTGCGCATAGACGTGCAGAGCCCGACGTACAGGTCAGGAGGGAAAGGATCTGTTGTGCCCTTGGGTGCTGCTGTCCCCGTGTGTGCCTTCCCTTGGTGGAACTAGTGGTAGGCAGCCACAGTGAGTAGAGGTTCCATCGGGTAACGTATGGAATGGTTTGTCTTGATTGAAGGAAAAGAGGGAGGGGAGAAAAGCTTTCCTGTAGAGTGTCAGAAGTGGGAATAACTTGAACTGGAAGAAATGAAAGCCTTAATTTTAAATGTGCATACTGTCGCCCTGGCACGGAGCATCTCCTGGGTTATTACCAGTGCCTGTGCGAGTGGACAGTCAAGTATGGTTCTGGTAACATGGTTTAATGGGGTTCAAAATCCTTTTCCTCAAAGCTTTTTTTTCCCCCCCTCCAAGTAGTGGCTTTAAATGATCTGATAAATGTTATCATGCGATATGGGGAGATACAGCCTGACTCGCATGTACTTGTGGTTTGCTCTGCATATAAATTAATGATCTTGAGTCCTTATCTAATTTGCAGCAGCTATTGTGGATCTTCCCCGCTCTCCCTCGCCTCTGTTGCCAGGCCTTGCCCGAGTTCTTGGAGACTCGAAACAAATGTGCTCTGAGTGAAAGAGTTTCCATTCTCTCATTCCGGGGATGCCGTTTCTTTGGCTCAGATGCCTGGGAACACCCTTTGCTCAATCTCTCTCCCCAAGAGTCTTAAGTGCTTCTTAAAATGCTAACTCTGCTTATTGAGCAATGCAGCTGTTTGTGCATACCTGGCGCTTCTTGCCATGGATACCATGAGGTTTTTCCAGCTGGGATGTACGTGAGCTGCCCCTGGGAACTGAGATACGGGGCTGCCTTCAGACACACACTCTTGTGTCACCGGACAGTTCTTGGGATGAGGTGCTGCATGTAGACTAGACCAAATAGAAGGATGGATTTGCAAACTGTGGGGATCAAGGTCAAAACAGATGCTATCTGTTTTAGTAGAGTAACATGAATCGGGATTGTGTAAGCTGGATTTAGGAGGAAAACTGGTTGTAGAAACTTGCCTTGAGGTATTGAAGTATTAATTTACAGCTGGAAGGTAGGAGGTGGTTCTTTTCCAGTTTGAGGAAGAACAAGTTAGTGCACGTACTTTCTCTTGCGTGTTCAAACCTACCCAGAACTTGTCCAGACTACCTCGGATAAAATCAGTCCATCAGGAACACTGAGAGTCTGTTCTCAAATGCAAGTGCCTTACAAAGCAGGGTGTGACAAGAGATGCATTTGTTTTCTGAGTAAAGATCTTTCTGTGCAAAGAAAGAGCCTTGCAAAAGCTCCTTTTTTTATTTTTTATTTCTTTCTTCTGCCAGCTTGCCGCGGCTGGGCGGTCAGTCGCTGCAGCATTGTTGCACGCCGATGACGGGAACCTCCCAGTTCCAGCTCTGCACCAGGGTGTGTTAGTTCTGTTCTTGGCCTCCGTTCAAGTTTTTTGTTCCAACAAGCCTGATTCAATGCGGTTTTTAACTGAATTAGAAACAGGAGTCTTGCTAAAAGCTGTTCAGCGATTGTTTTCTGCAAGATGATACTGCATTTGCTTTGCTTCAGCTTTCGCTGGTGGGTTCCGGTTCTTTGTGACAAGCAAGGCTGAAGGACTCGAGCTGCTTCGGTGTTGGTTGTCACAGTGTCGCTGTACAAAGGTCTCATTGTTAGGCACTTCATTTTATTAAGAGTAAACGTGAAGAATTTCCTAACTCAGTCATAAATCACCCCCCTCTAACCAGCAAGTAGCAAGTATCAGCTTATTACGGCTTCTGTGGCCTATCTTTAAAGGGTTGGATTTTTGCTCTGAAAAAGATTTATTCTCAAATAAGTTGATGCATGACTATGGTTTTCATTCTGTCTTATTCTTCTTCCCCTTGGGATCTTAATTTTTCCTTGAAGTAAAGCTGCTTTTATTACCTCTACCTAGGTTACTTCAGAAGATGAAAGGTTTCCTTTCTGTATTCCAAGTGAGGAAAGGCGTATTAACAGCAGTTATGCTGCAAAAGCCATGTAATCATGTTTCTTCGTTTTATTCTCATAACACTTGCTATATGTGCTGAAAGTAAGAATTTCTCTGCTTTTTCCCTTGGTGTACAGGATTTAAAACTAAAAAAAATGAAACACTTGCTCTGGAGCTTTAACCAACCTCCATTATTAAGAAATTATTTCACGTTACTTTCTGGTGAAGGGAGTGGCACCCACTGAAGCTGAAAATAGTTTTGATTTGATGCAGTTTTGGTTCCGGGCACTGTTATCAACGAGTGGAACGTCACTTGCCTTGGGGCGCTGCTGCCCGTTCTCTCCTACCTGGCATCAAGACAACTCTTTTCCCGGTTTGATAATGGTCTCTGCAGCCTGATTGTCCAGTTCCTGAGCAACAAGCTCCAATTTCAACGGGCAAAACGATGTCGTCCAGGTGCCAACCTGAATCAAGCCTCTTAAATATTGTCTATGACTTAGAACCTTTGGAAAACTTTTCCTCTTTATTTGAGAGACTCTTCCAGTGTAAGAGCAATATAGAATCATAGAATGTCTTAGGTTGGAAGGGACCTCAGAGATGATCTGATCGAACCCCTGCCGTGGGCAGGGACCCCTCTCAACCAGCCCAGGTTGCTCCAGGCTCATCCAACCCGGCCTTGAACATCTCCAGGGAGAGGGCAGCCACAGCCTCTCTGGGCAATCTGTTCCAGAGTCTGGCCTCCCTTGCAATGAAGAATTTCCTCCTCAGATCCGTTCTAAACCTGTTCTCCTTCAACTGGAGGAACTGAGCATCTGATTTAAATGCTACTGCTTGCGCCTGATTTTTGGCTTGGAGCTGGACTAGGCTATAATGTTTCTGCACAGTTTTGCTGCTGTTGCGTTGTAGGCTTGATCGGTTGTGCTTTGAAGGTAGAGATTTTCCACTTACTAAGTATTTAAAATACAGAGGAGATTTTCGGGTGTTGTTTTATTTTTAGGAGCCAGGATAAATTTTTATTGTACAATAGAAAAAAGACCTCTCACTGTTGTGTATTTATGATGGTGTGGCTTGGATACTCTTAAATCTGCTTTCTTGTCTGGGATTGGCAAGGTACACTGGATGATGTCGCTTTCGAGTGTTTCAGGACTATGTGACATTCTGATGTCATTACAAATGTATTTAAGTCTAATATTTCTATTATTTTTCTCTTCCTCCAGCATCCTTTCAAGATGTCTACTGTCCACGAAATTTTAAGCAAGCTCAGCCTTGAAGGAGATGTAAGTATTATCATTTAAACAAGAAAAGTTGCTTTTAATTAAATGCCACGTCTTGTTTCTTTTACAGGACTCTCTACCACCAGTGGTACTGAGCTGTCCAGTTTACAAGATCCACACATCTCTCCTACTTAAACTAATATTGACTGAAAACTTAGCCTGCAGTCATCAGTTTTCAGCCCCAAAGCAGCTGTAAACCATAGGACAATTACATGAAGTGACAAGATTTAATGATGGTTCTTCTAACTGGCCGGCAGCATGAGCAGTGTTTGTGGAAATTAAAAAAAATTAAATTAGAATATTGGGGATCTTATTCTTGTAATGATTATCACCGAACCCAAACTTCCTCTCAAAAAAAACCCTCATTTTCTTAAACTTCTCCATTTCTGTTTTGAAAAGCATAAAGAATCTTGGGGTTTATTGTGTGTTTTCCTCTACATCTGCACTTGCTGGATAGTTTTATTTGAAACACCGGAAAGCCACACTCTCTTTGTTTGATTTATGTTGCAACATTAGATGGTAGGATTACCAGTGTAGCGTCAGGATATCCCACCACGGATTTGTGGTTCTCTGATTGCCACAGAAGTGAATCCTATCCATGTTTCTGATAAACTTGCTATCCTTCTTACATTTTAGAGCTGGTAACTCCAGATCTGAGTTTGGTACAAGCAAGCCTTTTGCTTATTTTTGTTAATTATTGCAAAATAAACATTATACCATATGATCTTTGTGAAAGAGCTGTTGCAAAGAGCTGGCTAGTGCACCGTAGTTCGGTAGCAAAGCTAGTTTTGTACTGCAAAAGCAGTCAGCTCTTTAGGTTTCTTGGCTGTTCTCGTTTCAGTAGAGAATTACTTTTGAAATAATATTTGAGCAATCTGGTCTCAAGGGCTAAAATGTTTCTGCCATGACTTTTGTGACTACTCACGAGCATCAAATTTGAATGCTGTTCCATGCCAGCGTTTTCACCAGAAATTCTGCCACAGAGCGTGAGGAAGATCAGGCAGATAGTTTATTCTGTAGACCCTAAGCTGGAAGCCAGAATTACTGAGTAGTTAGTTTGCATGAAGGGTTTGCCCACTTCCCTTAAGCGGTGATTCAGCAAGATAAGAGGAACAACAACAAAAAGAAATAAAGCTTTTAACCTTGAGGTTATAGGATGGTCACAGCTGAACCCAAGTCCTGTCCTGTGCAATAAGGGATTTGTGCAGTTCGAGCCCAGGCTGCTTCTGCACTTACACGCTAGCTGGACTTTTACTGCCTCAGTCTGGAAAACTTTCTGTGGAACTAAATGAAAAGTCAGTTGTTGGAAAAGTTCTCTTGCCTGAAAACATACAGTACTGATGCAGTACTACCAGTATGTACCAGGGCTACACTAGTGTACCAGAGAAATGGGAGACCGTATAGTCTGGAATTTCAAAGGCTGTTTTTAAGTAGGTGGAGTAATCACAGCGACAGGACCTGTGGCTTTTCCACCGAAGTACTCGAAACGCTGAGAGTAAAGCATAATCTTTGTGGCTGGTGAAGACAATCCATTTACTTTTGTGTTGTGTCCAGTTCTGGGCCCTCAGCTCCAGAGAGATGGGAACTGCTGGAGAGAGTCCAGCGCAGCCCCAGGGATGATGGAGGGATGGAACATCTCCCTGAGGAGGGAAAGGCTGAAGGAGCTGGGGCTCTGCAGCTGGAGAAGAGGAGTCTGAGGGGTGACCTCAGTCATGGTTATAAATATGGAAAGGGGGAGTGTCAGGAGGACGGAGCCAGGCTCTGCTCAGGGATGTCCAGTGACAGGACAAGGGGCAATGGGTACAAGCTGGAGCACAGGAGGTTCCACAAAAACATGAGGAGAAACTTCTTCCTTGTGCGGGTGCCGGAGCCCTGGCCCAGGCTGCCCAGAGGGTGTGGAGTCTCCTGCTCTGGAGACTTTCCAACCCGCCTGGACGCGTTCCTGTGGGGCTGCCCTGGGTGACCCTGCTCTGGCAGGGGGTGGCACTGGGGGATCTCCAGAGGTCCCTTCCAACCCCAACATTCTGTGATTCTGCGAATCCATTTACTGGTAGAGCAGCCACCAGGAGGTTTCATTTTTCCTGGGTGTACCTACGTACACGGTGCTTCCTGAACCTTTTGACTGGTGTCAGAGGATCTGAATCCAACTTGTCGCATGCATTGGGTGGAAGGGCAGAGGAAAAGGTGGCTCCAAAATTGCAGACGTGCTGTCATTCTTCTCGGTGTATGGTATCATCGGACAGTAAAATACTCTGCGGGAATGACTCAGAAGATACTTGGAGCTGGGTGAAAGGGGGAGGTACACGACTCTGCTGCGCTCAGCAGGTAGCTTGCTTCAGATGATAACCCAGCAGTGCTGGTTAATTAGCCAGAAGTGCCACATGGCTGTGTGTACTGACGGACTTTGGTTTAGGAATGTTTCAGGCACACAAACTTCTTTGAAGCTGCGTTGCACATCTCCATTTACTGTTTCTGCTAGCAATTTGGTCGCTGACAGGAAAGGCTGTGTTCTGTGGTGTGGCTGTGAGCCAGGCCGGGGCCACTTTGCTAGATTGAGCTGGTGGTAAAAGACAAAAGAAAGAGGAGTTCAATTTATTGGTGCTTTTTTTGACTTCCTATCTCCACAGCACAACACAGACTCACTCCAGAAGGTACAGTGGTTGCTGCCAGAGGAATCTCTGTACAAGACAGGAATTTTTTTAGTAAAATTTGTCCTCATTTTAACAGTTTGCATGTAAAAAGATCACTCGGGGATATTAAGATAGCTTAGTTCTCATTAAGAACCCAGCTTTCTGTTGGAGTTAGAGACTGAAATAATCAATTTCCAGAAATCTTGACCAAGCAAGCCTAGTCATTCATTCACTTGAACAGCTGTGGCACTTCCAGATGTTAGTCACTTCACCTTCTGCCAGAGGTTTGTCTCTAAATTGAGCTCAGCCGAGCGGGATTTGTGGCTTAGTTTCACCTGCCCGTGGGGGGTGAGAGGTGCTAAACTGTTAGCTTGGACTGAAGCAGCTGCAAGGAGTTGAATCTCTATTCTGCTGACCTCCTGTTTGAAGCTGTAATCCTGAGGAGAGGGCAGTAGGTAACAGTTGATAAAATCTATTTCTAAAATGTAAGTGAACTTACCTGCAAGTTTTTTTATTCTTAGCAGAGGTTATTTGAAATGTCAGTTGGTGTTGTTAGCCTTGTCCTGCTTAAACCAAGCAACTGCAGGAGTTTAGTTGCAAAAGGAGATTGTGAGTAACTCCTGCTTTCCAGAACTGTAGTCTTATAAAGACTACAGTTACCCTTAAAGTCTGAGATAGGGCACAAAAAATTGTTCTTACTTACTCATTGTTAATCTTCTATCTCCTTCTCCTGGTTTTCTGGTTGTTTTTTTATTTTTATTTTTAATTGTAGGCAGTAATCCAAAGTAAAGTATTGGCTTCAAATCTAAAATACTTCAGACTTAAGCTTTCTTTTAATTAGCTTTCTATCAATTTCCATCAGACAACTCCAGGTTTGAGAAGATTGAGGTTTAGTGAGTAGGTTTTTGCTGCAAAAATATATGCAAACAGACATTATGTATTCCTTACTGTAATAAACATGACTGTGAGTGGATTTCTGGGCAATACACATCAGGAGCACAGAGTCTGGTGGCTCTAACCACGATTCCGTTTTCACAGATCCGTGCTGGTAGCTTTTGTATTTTAAAATTTGGCTGAATACCATTTAACCAAGAGGCACACGTTTTATTAACTGCAGCAAGGACAGGATTACATGGTCTAACGTCGAGGTTGTTCTCCTTTTTCTTCTAGCATTCTCTCCCACCAAGTGCGTACGCCACGGTTAAGGCCTACTCAAATTTTGATGCTGACCGGGATGCTGCAGCCCTGGAAACAGCCATCAAGACTAAAGGTGAGGGGCACGGACTGTGGCTTTGGTTCTGCTGATGTGCAAGACCAACATTTTAATAGCTGTACCCTAGGAGACCTATTTTAGAATGTGTTGGATTTCTCAGACCTCGCTGATGAAGTCTTGACCAAGTCAGATTTTTGAACTCTGTAGATGCATACTGTCAATATGCTTTTGAAGTTTGTAGCCAGAAGTTGTTGAGGTTATGGCTGGAAATGTCCACTTTTTTCCCATTCACTCATCAGTACTTCAAATTCTACTCCTTTTCTGCCACTGAGAACCAAGTGTCAACTTCCAGGGCAGCAATTTTTAACCAAGCTCTGAATCATGGGTGTCAGCTGGGTTATTGGATTGGACATTTCTTGTTCCTTTCAGCCCTCGAGAGAGCTGCATAGGGGTGATTTGGACATTCTTCTTTGAACTAAATGCTGTTGTGTCTTTTATTAATTTGATGTCAAAGAAAGTCCTAGAAACAAGAGAATCTAGCTTCTGAAGTGGCGTTGTGGTATTTCAGGGGCAGGGCGATATAAGAGCCCTCTGCTCCTCTGAGCCAGCCTCTCAGGTAGGTTTCCACCTCCTTACGTCAGTATCCACCACTTCCACTGGTGAGTAGGAGGCTGTGAAGGAGCAGAGGAGAGATCCAGCTGCAGGGAAAAAGCCTGCGATACTGAAACTACAGGGAGGATGGACTGCAGCTCTGGAGTAGCACCTTGTGGGTGCTCTCAGGGCAGCGATCCTCTCTCCTCGTCCTGCTGCGTAACAGAGCAAGGGTGTGCCACAGTTCCCAGACTTACCCCAGCCCAGAGAAACACCGAATGGGCATAGCTGGAGCTGCCAAGTCTTTTGCCCAGGTGTCAGGAGGGGGAGGAATTTAAAAGCCAAACAGTCTCATCAGGCAGAAATGCAGAGTCTTCCATTGGTGCCAACAAAGCACATGTTTGACTTGCTATGAAATGTAAAACGCTGCTTCTCCCTAACAAGCGTGAAGCTTTCTTTCACGAGATTTCTGAATTTAACTGAACAAATCTCTTGTTTGCTCGTTAAAGTAGGTTCGGTTCTGATTTTGAATCTTTTTCCTGGTTTTTATTTTAAAAAAGCCTTTTGCAAGAGAGGAGTGAATGTCAGCGTGTTTGACAGAAAATGCTTTGTGTGTATGTAGAGTTTTGTCTAGACTTAGTAATTTTTTTCAGCTCTGATTATAGGGCAAATCTAAACATGTCGAGAATACTGTCAGACTTTTAGGATAGGTACAAATTTACACATTTTAACGCTCAAGCTGTTAATTAATGCAAAAGGAAATTGCAGTATCCAAGGCAGTACAAAAGCTTTTCCCCGTCAGGGAAGTCAAGCTCGCATTGTTTTTTCTCTTTCTTGCTGCCAAAATAAGCAGTTTGCCAAGTTTGGTTTTAAGATACCTGGAAATGTTTCATCAGAGAGATGATTCCCACCCCTTTGAAATAATAATAGGGAATCTTATTCATGGACCTGCATGTTTGTAGGATTTACCTTATCTCTGCTTATTAGCTTGTTATCTAGGAGCTGTTTTGGGAGGGCGGCTCTAAGGGGGAGAATCGATTTATGGTTTTAATACTGAATCTTCCACCATAAAGACTCTCTCAGCTGAAGTATTCCTGGGGGGAATAAAGAACAGGAGTGTTAGGACCCTTCTTCCAGGTACGATTTCCTTGCACTTTTGCGTGCGTGCTTACAGCATATTTTCATCTGCTAATTGAGAAAATTTGCTAAAATATTAACTCTCTAAAATATATGCGAGTTGGTTTTTTTCCCAAATGAAAACTCTGAATCATCCAGACAAGACTTGGTTCTCTACCGTCGTGTCAACAGCCACGCAGGGAAAGTCTTCTGCAAGAAAACATTTTAAAATACTTCATCATAATTTTTGAGCTAAAAATATAACTCTCATAAAAAACAATCAGTACGTACCTTCCTAGGAAGTATCACTGATTCTCTAGCAATTAGTTTATCATGTAAATGACTCCTTCATCTTGGTGAGATAGAACAGGTTATGAATACGTGTGCAGGCTCTTCTTGTGGTCGAGGTGGTGAGTTTCAGAAAAACCTGGACATAAGAGCCGAGCTCTTTGAGGGCTTTATGCAGGATAAAGGACTCCTGGTATCTGAAACCCATGCCTTTTATTTGTTTCAAAAATACAGATCTTCACGTGCTGTAATGGGCCTGTATTTCACAATCACACAATCGTCCAAGTAGGCTTTCAGACTGTATCCTTTGTAGCAGTGCTATGGGAATCATATCCAGTGGAGTCTGATTTCTGGGGAAAATTATTTGGGTTTATCTTCCGTGTTTTATATAAGCAATATGCAATCAGGGCGAGCTGGTTTTAAGAAGTTACCATCCACTTAATTATCCAACTGGTCTCTAGTACCGCACTCCCCCGAATCGGTCATGAGTCTTTGTTCGGGTGTTCGTGTGTCAAATCTGTAAAACTTCCTTTACTGGCTGAAAGGCAGCCGTGTATTTGATTTAGGGCAAAGAAGACAGTCTGTTCTGTTTCAGAGTTGTTCCCCAGCTTTGGGACTTTGTGTGTCTCAGATGCTTTGTTAAGTAACTTCGTTATAAGACTGGGTTGTGAACAGTTAATTGTGTGTAACCACAACCTTTTACTGAGGTCTCTGGGTATAGTGTTTGGTTTTTTTATTCCATGACTGGCAGAATTCAAACACAGGTTTCTTGTAGCAAAGTGCTTTGAACACGTACATATAATAAATCCATTAAACTGAGACGTTGGTAAAATGATGAGGAGGTATAAACCATAGCAAGGGTCTTCTGTAAGATTGAATTTTCTGGTTTTATAGTACATCGATGCTGGCAGGAAGGGATAGTGCCTGAAATCCACCAAACTGCAGCAGTCACATATTCAGAATATTAATAGTATCAGTAAAGAAGTACCTCATTACAGCATGTTTTGGGGTTGGTGAAATCTTGCTACACAAAATAGCAGAGCTGAAATTATAGTGTTATTTTATCCGAACTTTTCATCTTTGACTCCAGTGGGATCAGAGTTTTACCCAAGAAAGATCAGACGCTGCAGATCATGAGCTCGGTCAGTCCTAGGGCTGTGTTGGTACCAGAGACACAAAGATTGAGTCTCACAAGGGCTCATCTTGTACATCTCCCACTAATCACTTGAGGCCAGCTGCAATTGTATTGCGTTTATTAGTGTAGATGGATGATCTCTGTAGTAGCTAGATGCTGTGGGGCCAGGCATAGGTTCTGGTATTCTGTCAGTGCTGTCTTTGAAAATGAAATTTAAGCAAACAGACTTCTAGTAAATGAGCTAAATGAACGTATGGCAGCTCTTGCAAAATGAAAATGTGTTAGCTCTGTTCTCGCCTCATCCCAGAAAATTAAGCGACTTTCCATATCGTCCCTTTTGTTCAGAACGATGCTGGTGCTGTTGGTTTGGCTCACAGAAATTCAAGTACAATTAAACCAAAATATGAACTCTGATAATTTTAGTTATGGTCATTTCCTCTTTTTTTGCCAATTGAGCCATAACACTGCAATCTTACCAGTGCAACAGAGTGCCTCTTTTAGAAGAAAAGTTATTAGTCAGATGTGGTAGGATTTTTTAAGATCTACTTCCCTAATGCGTCCTGTTCCCCACCCCCTCCAATTTCTTTTTTTGGAAAAAAAAAAAAAAAGATGAGCCAGAATGTCAAATTTTCAATTACCCATTGAGAGAATCGTACCAGTAAAATCTGCCCAACCAGAATGAATTTGGAAATAAACTTCTGTTGCATTACCCTGAAACTTCCAGAGACTTTAGTGAAGAGCAAAGAAAGAATGTTGGAACTGCTCTCCTGCTCCACCCCACCTCAGCAGCTGTGAGTCAGCATCCTGTCCCTGCAGCACGATTCCCAGGCGTGAAGTACAAGCGCTTTACTTTCCGTGAAATGCCGGAGCAGTGAGTTAACTTTGTGTTTCCATCCGCAGAGCATTCGAGTGAGCAGCTTGGATGCAGTCATTTGTGGGCTTCCAGTCTCTCGCAACTGTGATAAAACTTGGAAATGTCATTTGCCTAGTTTGAATGCCAGGAGTGGTTTAAATTGAGTGTTTATTAAAAAGCTTAAGACGTCGTGGGCCTGCAACCGCTGAAAGGCCCAATGTTTGTGTGTGGCCGTCTCTGGACTGAGAGAATTTGTTTTCTTTCATAAAATGGGAACCCTTTAAAATGTGCAGGAGTAGATGATGTCCGAAATGTGCAGTCAGCATGTTTTCAAACCAGATTTTGTAACGAAGACGTGCGATGCCTTCCAGGACCTTTTGACTTCTGCGGGCCAGGCTTGTGTGAGGTAAGAGCACTGATGTAGGTCTGCCCCAGCATGAACTACCGACGGGAGGCTATCGAGTACGGAGAAAAATGTGATGAAGAAGAAAGGAGTTTTGCATCCGACTCCTTTTAGGTTCTGCAGCGAGGATCTAAAAGGTCTTTTGCAACATTCACACTTGAGGTGATTAATTATTAGGTGCTGCTGCAGTCCCTTGTTTCAGGTTGCTGTGAGGTTGCTTTAGGGAATAAGGAAAATAAATGCAGATGGATTCTGACAGAGATCCTAGGAGCTGCTGATCTAGTTCTTTCTGGATTTTTTTTTTTTTAGCTAAAAATCATCAGCACTGATGTGTGTGCAAATGTGGAAGAAGCTATTCCTAATACTTGTAGTAAATGGAAGGACCTGTGTCACAACTCTGGGCTTGTTCCAATTTCTAGAATAGAGCTACCTGTTTGCTTTAAAACCTGGCATGTGACTCACCAGAGGAAAAAACAAAAAAAAACCACCACCCCAAAATAGTTGCATATAATCTTTCTGTTGCATATAATCTTTCATATAATAATAATTTTTCATACAATAATAATTGCATATAATCTTTCTGTTGCATATAATCTTTCATATAATAATAATTTTCATATAATAATAATTGCATATAATCTTTCTGTTGCATATAATCTTTCGGTTGTACTTTTTTTTAAACAAGCAATATTTAAAAATAGTTTTGACTCTTCCAAGCTTCATGCAGTCAATGTGGAAATAGCCCAAAACGGGTTGATGGTTGGACTTAATGATCTCAGAGGTCTTTTCTAACCTTAATGATTCTCTGTTATTTGAGCATAACAACGAGAGCTGTTCTGGCTGTCTGCTCTGTGCATCCCTTTAAAAGCTGTGCTGACTCTCCTGTTTGGAAGACTTTATCCTCTGGACATTACTCCCAGCTGCGCTGATATTCTCCACCTGCGTTTGAGTAGCGTGTCCAGACAGTTTTACCTAGGGCTGAAGTCAGTGATACAGACATGGGTACACACTGAAGAATTGGGAAAGGGGACTCGAGTTCACTTGTATCTTTTAAAAAGCATTTGAGAAAAAGGTTGTAGTTGTCCCCCAAAAATGAAGTTGCCGTTGCTTATTTTAAGCAGAGTAAGAACATTAAATCCAAAATAAGATTTTTCTTGAGCAAGGTAGTGTCTGCTCCAGGGGCTTTGGAAATTTCAACCTCCTGCCATTTCATTAAGTACACCTGAGCTGACCTTTTTGGTTCTGTTCAGATGCATCCCGTGTCAAAGTGTGCCACGCTGGTTTTTTTATTTGTTACTCTAAGCTTTTTTCCACTGACTGCTCTGTATCTTTTGTTTTACCTTATGGTAGCAGGGCTTGCATTTCTCAACGTTTTCCTTGGAGTAATGGAGACTGCTTCCTTGCAAGGGCAGTTTCTACAAACTCTCAGAGTAAGAGAAGTTATTTTATATAAGGGAATATAAAGCTTTTCCAGCTCTTCTGTGTTGATATGAATAGACGAAGTGTAGCTGTCCTGGCAGAGAGCACTTTGAGAGACGTGGAAGTTTGCAGGGCAAGGTAATTGTGTATCCGTTGGGGTAGAGCCCGATCACAGGAGACAGGTAACTCGGATGCTCCAGGTTCATCTCAAGAAGCTGAAGAGCCTCCAGTCCAGCCAGCCTCCAGGCTGTCTTTTGAGTTGCTAAGGCCAAGCTGCGTATCAGAATTGTAATCAGAAGAGCTGTGCCAGCCCATAGAGTGTGAGTTCGGGAGAATCCAGTTTGAAAGCATCAAGTGAAATGGGGAATCTGAAATGCATGGAGTGGAAAAATGGCAAAACTGTGCCTGCGTTGGAAAGAGCATAGAGTAACCGGTAGCTGTGCCTTGGAAAGAACATCTGGAAATCCTGCTTCCTGTACAACATAAAAGCTTTTTTTTCATCTACTTGCGTTGATGACCTCCACAGGATCTAAAGCTGTGGTGTGCCTTAGGTTCTGTTGACAGTCAGAATATCCAATGGCAGAGGCATGCTTTGGTTTTTAACTTAGAATCAGCCTTAGTGATCTCATTGCATTTAACCTGCAGTTGCTTTTAAGTACATGGGTTTGGAAAACTTCCCTTAAAACTAAACCTTGACTGATGCGTAGTTTGCCTATGTAAAAAATAGATTGGAGGTTTGAGCATCTAAGTCCTCTAGTTAAAACTCGGCACGGATCTTCAAGTGATGCTTTCTAAAAAAAGTAGTGCACATGTACTTCTTCCAACCTCGGAAAACCCGTCTGTCTTCTGAGCCTCTGAGCTGCTGAGAGGATGAAATATACTGGTTTATTTTTCCATTTCTGTTTGGAGTGATAGTTAAGTGACCATGGATTAGATCAAAATGGAACTGCTTTATTAAGAAGCCTTAATTGAAACTACTGGTGTGACAGGACAGGCTTTGCTAAGTACAAGTCCATGTCCCTTTTAAAGCCTGTGTTCTTGATCAACTTTTTGCAGAGCGCTGCAGGACTGAACACAGGTCCACAGAGACACGAGCGAAGCAGGAAACAGAAGTAGCAAAGCTGGTCGCAAACGAGGTTTTTTTGAGGTGTTGTACATGCGTGTGTACACAAAGATTCGTGTCACATCAAAAATGCGGGTTGTAATCGGCTGCCTTTTCTCCAGGGCCAGGAAGTGACATGTACCGACTAATGAGAGCTGTTGAGCTCTGCTCTGGGGAGTGTAATAGATTACGAGTTTTGAAGAACATGGTAATACAAAGAGCACAGGAACCAGAGAACTTCTTTAACTCTGTCTTTTGTCTTTGTAGGTGTGGATGAGGTCACCATCATCAACATCCTGACAAACCGCAGCAATGAACAGAGGCAGGACATTGCTTTTGCCTATCAGAGGAGAACCAAAAAGGTAGCAAAATACGCAAAAATAACGAGTATTTAATATTTTTTCTTGTGGATGGTTAGATTTTTCAGGACTTGGATGTTTCACAGTTAACTGGATGTAAACTGGAGATAAGTATTACTTGATTTATCCCTTCACTGAAATTAAAGGTGCATCTCGTTTGTCCACACTGCCACAAATTAGAACTGGTGGGACTTCCAAAATTGTTGAGTGTGCGCAACTGGGACTGAAATCTGTTGGAGCTGGTAGTTTCCTTGCGCCTCCAGAAATCGTGATGGGTGACAGATCAGCCAACCACAGGATTTCCTGGTGAGATATGCTCCACAATAGTGAAAAGCCATTGACATAAAATGCCTCAGTATGAACGAAGAGATCAAAGGGAGATGCCTTAGGGGATTGATTTTTTTATTATTCTTATTTTTTAAGACAACTCAGCATAAGGAAGATAGCCTGTTTCCGTTTCCAAATCTAGCTTAAATGAGAAAAGATTGCAGTCAGTGGTGCTAACAAACACTGAAGGTGTAGAACAATCACTATCACTAGATTTTATCCTGTCAGAAATACCTGAGGTGTGGATCTGTTGCTGGAGAGAAACCTGTAAAATGTGTGCGGAATTCTGCACGCACGACTCTTACTGTCTGGAAGGCATGAGCTGTTCTCTTGGATTTTGAAGCTTTTGGAGTCTTACCGTAATTGGCGTTTTATGCCCACAAAACCCAGGAAACTTGTGTGGAGTTAGGATTATGATGAATGTATCTCTTTCAGGTTTGCCAGACTCCACATGGTAGTCCTCCAATAGCAGCCCAGAACACTCATCTGAAACCAAATGTAAATCGAGAGTTAACTTTTGGAAATTCACTGACTTTTGTGCATGGCTGATAGAGGCACGTGTGTAAGCACGCAGAAGCTGAGCGCACGCACGTCTGCACCCTGTGGGCACTGGGAGAATCGTGCTTAGAAGTGGACCCTGTGTCACTTAAAGCTCTGTTAGATCTCTTGCATGACCACAGCCAAGAAAATCAGCAACTCTTTTCATGTTTCATCTTTTTTTTTCCTTGCTGTGACCCAAGAGCAAACTGAATTTGTCTAGCAATCTGTGGGAACAATGAAAATCTGCAGTATAAACCGCTCAGTGACGCAAACAAGTGAATTAGCAAGAAAGGAGGAAGTGAGGTGTGAGAAGACATGTAGATCTGTCTTCTGGACACAGTGTCTCATGGCTTTCTTTGGCAACAGGTTGTGTGTATTTCTTTGGCCATGTGCCTTGTTGTGCTAGGCTGCCTGTTCTGTGTCTTGCAGGATTTCTCAGATCATGGTAATCTTAAGAAGTTGTAGGCCTCCCTTTCTTTCATTCCTCTGCGTTGAGCTGTGTCTAATGGAAACTATTGGTAATCTCAAGGAACGGTGTTTGATCTAGGTCATCTTTCCCACCATCCCCAGCATTAGCGGAGCTACCAGTGCACACTGGGGGTTCTGCGTGTGTGTGTTGAGATGTGCTGGTCAGTCTGAACTGCCACCAGTGATCTAACGTTGAAGTGAGCTGCTAAAATCCACATTGTAGAATCATAGAACGTTGGGGTTGGAAGGGACCTCTGGAGATCCCCCTGTGCCACCCCCTGCCAGAGCAGGGTCACCCAGGGCAGCCCCACAGGAACGCGTCCAGGCGGGTTGGAAAGTCTCCAGAGCAGGAGACTCCACACCCTCTCTGGGCAGCCTGGGCCAGGGCTCCGGCACCCGCACAGCCAACAAGTTTCTCCTCACGCTGAGGTGGAACTTCCCATGTTCTAACTCAAACCCATTATTGCTTGTTCTATCGCTGGGCATCACTGAGAAGAGATTGTCCCCTTCCCCTTGACCCCCACCCCTCAGGTATTTCTCTACGTCAACAAATCCCCTCTCAGCCGTCTCCTTTCCAGGCTGAACAGCCCCAGGTCTCTCCGTCTCTCTTCCCAGCAGAGATGTTCAGTCCCTTGATCCCCCTCGTAGCTCTCCCTTGGACTCTCTCCAGTCGGTCCCTGTCTCTCTGGAACTGGGCAGCCCCGAACTGGACCCAGTATTGCAGGTGTGGTGCTCATTTGGAACCCTTAGTAAAGCCTTTTCTCTTTGCTGTTTATGAATTAATGATCTCTCCCAGTTGTCTGCTTCCCACTTCTCACTTTTAGCCATGGCAGAGTGGAGACGCTGCTTTCCTGGCAGGGGGAGGAGACTTTACTTCTCCAGAAGCCTCCTAATATGAAGGCAGGTGCTTAATTCAGTTTGAGGTGTTTTGTTGCAGTTATTTTGGTGTTTGTATTTCCTTCAGTCTTCACACACAAAGATGGCAAAAAACTTCACAAAGCTAATTGGAATTCGTGATGGTGTCCTCAGATTTGTTGTACAGATACTTGGTGTCTTTGCTGTCTCAGCTGATGCCTGAAGAACCCCTTTTGTCACACACAAATAATCCAAAATTAACTAAAAGCTTTCTCAGACTGAAGCAGCTAGATGCCCAGCCCCACCCATTCCCCGTGAGTGCGTGCAGCATTAGCACATGTTAAAATGGGTAACTCTGGAAATGAAGTAAATGCTTTGGCTCTTGGACTCTCTGGTACAAAGTTCTCTGCAGCTTTGCCAAGGTCACTTTCTCTGTCCCCTTTTCCCCTGCCCCTGAAGCTTACAAACCCTTACTGTAGAAAGCAGTGACTGAAACGCAGCAGTTGTCTCGGAATGCTACAGACTTCACTTCAACTTAGGGAACGCATTGATCTGCGTGAACCCCAGGCTTGATCCCCGGGATTTCAGCTTTGTGACTACGCTACGACGAAGCTGATAATTAGCATTATTTGAGTTGCAGCTGAAACCCATCCAAGAGGACGTGCCTCTGACTCCGTTTGCTACAGGTTTGCACGCATCCTGTGAACCTGACTGTTTAAGTCGCTCGGATTGCCTGTCAGTTAATAGAGACTGACTACGCTCTTCTGATAGTTTCCGTGAAGAGAGGGATAATTTTTCTGTGCTCAGGGATGATTTTTTTTTTTTTTTCTCCTGTTCAGCTAGCAGTTTGGGAACTGGGCATGTACAGTGGAATAACTGTGCAGTCAATTTTCCGATGTCTCAGCTCGCGAAGGGCTGGGATAATAGGAAAAACACAAATAATACAGTGCTGCTGGCAAAACTATGGGAGTGTGGTGGAGAAGCCCTGACCGCAGGGAGTCCAACTCAGATCTGTCTGTGCTTGTTAGCTCCAACAAAGTGTCAGCGCTTCAAGACTGGAGAGGAGCTGTTCAGATGTGTCTGCAACCATGCTTCCCAGCACTTTGTCAGCCACCAGTGGATTTCTTCTCATTTTCAAAGGATGAGAAAAAAAAAATTCCTTTGCCCTAATTTCTTTCTTAGGCTTTCACAAAAGAAAGCTCTTGATGTTCTGTTTCCTTGTCAATCGTGTAAGAAACACTATCGCGGGCTTGGAGACTTAAAGCACTACAGGCTAAATTCTCTAGAGATCAGAAGTGAACTTTTAATTTTTTTTTTCTTCCATCATCCCCTCCTTTTTTACAGGAACTTTCTGCAGCACTCAAGTCCGCTCTGTCAGGTCATTTGGAGGCAGTGGTCTTGGGCTTGCTGAAGACTCCGGCACAGTATGACGCCTCTGAATTGAAAGCTGCCATGAAGGTAAATGAGCTTTGAAATTCAGGTGTGTTAGTCTGGTGTCCCTTTCTCCACAATGAGGATGGACTTCCTATCCAACGCCACAGTTTCCAAACATGTCTGCTGATTAGGTTTTTTTTATTAGTACTATTATTTTTTTAAAGGTCTACAGCTTGAGTAGCTGCAAGACATCCAAAATGAGAGAAATTCTGGAACTGTGTGATTTTTAAACTGTTAATTAAATCCTCTCTCGGAGGAAATAAAATAATTTCATCAGGTTAGGAATAACTGATTAGCTGCTCTGACTGGTTCTTGCTTTACTTCTCTTAAAAACAATGTATCTGTTCATAGAACGAAAAAAAGTTAAGAGAGCAGCTGTTAGCTGGAGCTGTTAAATCCTCTGCTAATATTTATAAGCTTAAACAGGAGTTTCCAGTTACTGGGTCATATCGCTGATCTTGAAAGAACATCCTGTGGCCAGGCCAGCCTCTGTGTAGGATTCTCTGAGGAGGATGAGGCACCCAAAGCAGTCTTTGGAGAACAAGCGCAGCGGTGAGCTGCTGCGTTCAGTCCCCTGCGATCACGGGCAAGTGTGGAATAGATGGCTGCTTTGGAAATACCGGACTTGGAGAGGTGCTCGTGCCAATGCATTCACCTTTCTAAAGAAACTAAGGTCTGGGAATTTTTATTTCTAATCAACACTTAAATTCTAAATGTTCTCGACCAGGTTAGGTGTTTGCTGATTTTATTTTTAAATAATTGAAAAACTAGTATTAAAATACGTCTGTTGAAATTCAAGACAAGACAAAGAAAAAATGATTAATTTCTTCAGACTATGAAAAAAGAGTTAAAAAACAAGCTAGGAAACCAGCCCCTCTACCTGCTCCCAACTCCTCCCCCCCCCAAAAAATCACACCACCAACCTGCAAAAAACATCCCAATACTGAGATGGTAACTAATTATGGGCCAAATCCCTTATTTGGGTGATCAGATGCTGCCCTCTTCTGGTGTAAGTAGAGACTCTCTAAGTTACTGTGGCTCAGATAAGTTTGGTTCTGGTTATTTTGTTGGTTTTGTTGTGTGGTTTGGGGTTTTTTTTTTTGTAATATCTTAGATCTGATTGGATAATTATATAGTGTTTATGCTGTGTAATTGGCCCAAAGACCAAGCCGCTACCTCAGAGGAGCCACAAACAGAATATTCTGTTCCCTTCTTAGGTCAGCTCCTCTCAGTTTCCAAGCACCACCTAGGCCAATATTCTGAATTTGCCTGAGCTTAAGTTTATAGAGAATAATAAGCTATGACATAGGAATCAAAGCTGGGTGTAAAGCAAAGTTATCATCAAAGAGTTAATTATTTTTCTGATACACAGTCTTAAGGAATACTTAATAAAATATTTAGAAATTTTGTTAGCCTTTGTTTCTTTCCCAGATACATATTAGAACCACGCTGAGGAGAGCTCTTTTTATACTCTTAACTGTGAGGCATTTTTATAAAATTGCTCCCATTTAGTCTTTTTAGTTTTTTGGTGTGGGGTTGGTTTTTTTTATTTTTTCCAGTGGAGGGTTTTATGGAGAGAGATGCAGAAGAGCAGCAGGGAAGAACGGGTTGATTGCTGTCTGTGTTTGCATGCTAAGAAATGGAGCTTCTGTGCTCTCAGCGGACAGAAAATTGTCACACGTAGGCCGTCATGACTTCATCTCTTCCAGTTCTGCTGTTGGGGAGGCCACGGAGTGTTACGCTCACAGCAAATGCACATTGCCCAGAGATTATATCTACAGGATCTCAAAGCTTTCGAGTAGTATTTGGCAACTAAAAATGTTCCATCTGGGCTTTCTCAAGCGTAGCGAGTGAAAGATATCCCCGAACGGCTGTGAAAAACTGTTTGAGTGGGAGAAATGAGATGTCTGTAAAATATTTTTAAACCATTCAAGTATGTCTTTTCATTTGCTGGCACCTAACGACGTCATGTGTGTGTTGCAGGGGCTGGGAACTGATGAAGACACGCTCATTGAAATCATCTGCTCTCGAACAAATCAGGAGCTGAGCGAGATTAACAGGGTCTACAGGGAACGTAAGTTTGCTTGGGAAGTTTTGTGCTGCTGTCCTGCATATCTGTGTTTATACAGCTTCATCTTGTTGCTTCGTAGCAAACAAGTTGGATAACGCTGCACACTGAAGTTGTGCCTAAATGAGGGGGGTTTTGGAAGCTACGTGCGTTCTGTGCATAGTGACAGAAGTAATGGTGTGAGATTTGTGGGTTCTAGGGCCAATTATGTAATAAGCAGGTGAACTGGAGCTCTACCAAAGCATGCTTATAAGTTTATTTGGTCGACCTGCCAGAAAAGACATGAAATAAAACTTCATTAAAGCGCACGTTGTGATTTTCCAGTGTTCTAAAACACGTTATCTAATTGAAGCTGTGATTATTAGTCATTCATAAGTAGCTATGAGAGTGATCTGTCCTCAAAAAATACTACTTTTGCTTTACTTTTCCTTCTGATTGGGTTTATTGCAATTCAGTCTTGTGCCTGTCCAATGCCCGTTAGTTTCCCTGAACTTCAGAGTCAAGCTTTGCCACAAAGAGACTGAAATGTAGAAAACTGCTGTGTCCTTCGTAGTTCTCAAGCAATTCCAGCAAGGTGCTGGCTAAACCAGCACAGGCAAAACCAATCTAGTCGTAGTGATGAGTATAAAAAAAATAAAAATAGTCTGTATCAGCAAAGAGAATGTTGCTGCTGTAGATTAGGTTGCCGTTGCAAAGAAGAGACAATGTGATTTATTTATTTTTTGTGAAGTATGACCATTCGGAAAGCAATGAAAATGTTGAGACAGCAGACCAGGATCACCCACAACATTCCTTTGATTTATCATAACAGCTTTTGTCTTTTGGATTAAACTTGTAATTGCAGTTGTCCAGCCGTAAATCCACAAGTGGAGAAGGCCTAAATGCTGTGTTTATCGAACCAGCAAGCCTTCATTGGTAGCAAAGAATGATCTAACAGGATATTAAGGTTAAATCAATGTTCCTTTACCCTTAATAGTCTCAGGCTTTCCTGTTGTCTTTCCACGACAGGCTCTGATTGCACAGGAGCTCCCATGACTAGCTGGTAGCAGTGCTGGTGTGTGCAAACAGGCATTTGTTTTCACCGTCTTCCACTTCTGACTTAGGTTGTAGCTGTTTGGTTTTGTGCATAAAACGCAGTAACTGGCAGCTGTTCCTCTTTTAAAACAATATTTGTAGGAAACCATTTACTTGAAAAGAATTTTTTGTTTTCTAGTGTACAAGACAGAACTTGAAAAGGACATAATATCAGACACATCTGGTGACTTCCGCAAGCTAATGGTTGCCCTGGCCAAGGTAGCTCTGTCCATGTTTTTAATTTTTCCCAATGTGCCTTCCCTTTGTTAACTGTCTATCAGTAAAACATCTGGATTTCTGATTTGCTTTTAAATTTCCTTGTATTTTCACTATCTTTTTGTATTTTCTTCTGTGTTTTGTGGACAAAAATGTAGCATTCATAAGAGCAGCTTCATAATGGGAATGGAGTATACTGTTACTCATTTAGCAAACTCGGATTAAAAAAACTAAGAAAAGAGTATGTGTGTAACAAACTGCTTACTGTCTGTTAAACCTCTTCTAAATACTGTTATCCTTGTTTAAAGGGCAAAAGGTGCGAAGATACCTCTGTGGTTGATTATGAGCTGATTGATCAAGATGCCAGGGTAAGTGCTGGTAGTGACCACGAAATGTCTTAAGTTGATCAAGCTTTTGGGGACATTCAAAGTACAAAAAGAGAGAACCACTTGTGAAAGCAGGTGGGTGTATTTTGGATTATCTTGTAATGTTAGCGTGCTGTCAGGGAATCTGCCCCGTGCAGTCCTGATACTTTCAGTTACCAGCTTTCACGGGATACTGACTCACGCTAGTACGTACACAGGAGCTCTCTGGTATTTCCCTTAAGCCTAGAGAAAGCGTTTAATAAAAGGAAACACATACATTGGTTGGATGGTCACACCCAGAGGGTTGTGGTCGACGGCTCGATGTCCAGATGGGGACAGGTGACAAGTGGTGTCAGTCAAGGGTCTATATTGGGACCAGTGCTCTTCAATATCTTCATCAATGACATAGACAGTGGGATCAAGTGCACTCTCAGCAGGTTTGCAGGTAACACCAGGCTGAGTGGTGCCGTCGTGTGGTGCCAGAGGGACGGGATCTCCCCCAGAGCTGATGAGCTGGAGAAGTGGGTCTGTGTGAACCTCATGGGATTCAACAAGGTGCAAGGTCCTGCCCCTGTGTTGGGGCAATTCTTGTTATCATTACAGGCTGGGGGCTGGTGTGCTAGAGGGCAGCCTCGCACAGAAAGACTTGGGGATGTTGGTGGATGAAAAGCTGCACACACGCCACAGATGTGCGCTCGCAGCCCAGAAGGCCAATCGCATCCTAGGCTCCGTCAGAAGCAGCGTGGCCAGCAGGTCGAGAGAGGTGATTCTGCCCCTCTGCTCTGCTGAGACCTCACCTGGAGTGCTGCGTCCAGCTGTGGAGCCCTCAACACATGGACTTGTTGGAACGGGTCCAGAGGAGGCCATGGAAATGGTCAAAAGGCTGGAGTTCCTCTGGTATGAGGATGGACTGAGAGAGCTGGGGCTGTTCAGCCTGGAGGAGAGAGGGCTCTGGGGACACCTGACAGTGGCCTTCCCGTACCTGAAGGGGCTACAGGAAAGCTGAGGACGGACTGTTCACAAGGGCGTGTAGTGACAGGACTAGGGACGATGGTTTTAAACTAGAGCAGGGTAGATTTAGATTAGGTGTTAGAAGAAAGTTCTTTACACTGAGAGTGGTGAGACACTGGCACAGGGTGCCCAGAGAGTGGTGGAGGCCCCATCCCTGGAGACATCTGAGGTCAGGCTTGGTGCAGCTCTGAGCAACCTGATCGAGTTAAAGATGTATACGCTTGTATACACTTCTTGTGTAACTCCTGATTTTTGTGATTTTGCTTTTCTTTCTAACCACAGGAGCTCTATGATGCTGGTGTGAAGAGAAAGGGAACTGATGTCCCCAAGTGGATCAACATCATGACTGAAAGAAGTGTCCCACACCTGCAGAAAGGTACTACTCAGGAGACTGGGGTTTTTTCCCTATAAGAGATAATTATACCAAACTGGTAACTGTTTCATCCCATTTCATGATTGAAATGAGTGTGAAAAGCATTCGTAAAACCTAGAAGGAAAATGTTTCCTCTGTCCTAGGGTAGCTTAATTGTATTGTATATTTAAATCTGAGAGTCGAGAGTCTCAAAATCAGGTCTGATACTGTTGTAGGAAGGACATGCAAAACCCATGTGAAGACTTTTCAGGGCCAAAATCACTTTTGTTTCCAAATAGCACAGGATTAAGATGGTGTTTTACCAGGTGATAGAGATGCTCAAGGGAAACAAGAAGGCCATAGCATGGGGACTTTACTTTCAGCTGATACACTTAGGATGTAATTAAGATAAAGAAGGACTTGGATAGGTGTGTTTTAATCAGGTGTCTCTGCGCTGCTGTCTCTGGCTTTGCTTTGGGTGGTTACTTTTAGCAGTTCTTGGTCTGGTTTTGATTTCCCCCATTTTCTTTCTTGTGATAGTGTTTGACAGGTACAAGAGCTACAGCCCATATGATATGTTGGAGAGCATCAAGAAGGAGGTTAAGGGAGATTTGGAGAATGCCTTCCTTAATCTTGGTGAGTAAAGACTATCTTTACACAGGGTGTTTCCAGTGCTCTTGGAGTTTTTCGTGATGTATTTTTGCTTCAGTCTTCACTGGCAACCACTCGAACCACACCACCCAAGTCACGGAGGGCATTGGCTGGGTCTGGGAGAGTGAAGAACCACCCAGGGCAGGAGCAGATCAGGTCCTGGAACACCCAGAGAACCTGAAGGTGCACAAGTCCGTGAGACCCGATAGATACATCCACGGGTCCTGAAGGAACTGGTGGCTGAAGCTGCTAGGCCACTCGCCATCATAGCTGAGAAGTCGTGGCAGTCGGGTGAGGTTCCCACAGACCGGAAAAGGGGGAACATAACCCCTGTTTTTAAAAAGAGAATCAAAGAAAGCCCAGGGAACTACAGACTGGTCAGCCTCACCTCTGTGCCAGGTAAAATCCTGAAGCAGATCCTCCTGGTATCTGTACTAAGGCACCTGAGAAATAATGAGGTGAAGGGGTGCCGCCCAACAGGGCTTGACTGAGGGCAAATCGTGCCTGGCCGATTTGGTGGCCTTCTAGGACAGAGCTACAGCTCTGGGTGACATGGGAAGAGGAACTGACATCATCTACCTGGACTTGCGCAAGGCGTTTGACATTTGACACTGTCCCTCATGACATCCTTGTCTCTAAGATGGAGAGACACGGATTTGACAGATGGACCACTCGGTGGATAAAGAACTGGCTGGATGGTCGCACTCAAAGAGCTGTGGTCAATGGCTCGATGTGCCCATGGAGACCAGTGACCAGCGGAGTTCCTCAGGGCTCTGTTCTGGGTCCAGGGCTGTTCAACATCTTTGTCAGCGACATGGATGAGGGTGTTGAGGGCACCCTCAGCAAGTTGGCCGATGACACTGAGCTGTGTGGGGCAGTGTGAGGCTGGTACTGTGGCACAAGGTGAAGATGACAATAACATCTCCCAGGTTTCAGAGAAAATGCCTTAAGAGGAAAATCCATTTCAGACCGAGGGCTAACTGAGAGCTCTGCAATGCAGATGGGATTTAAACAGAGCTCAGCCTTGAGAGGGAGGCTTCTCATGGATCAGCATACAGCGAGTGTTTT